TCAGAATTTTCCACAGTTTATTGTGATCCACACAGTCAAAGGCTTTGGCATAGTCAATAAAGCAGAAATAGATGTTTTTCTGGAATTCTCTTGCTTTTTCGATGATCCAGCGGATGTTGGCAATTTGATCTCTGGTTCCTCTGCCTTTTCTAAAATGAGCTTGAACATCTGGAAGTTCACAGTTCACATATTCTTGAAGCCTGGCTGGGAGACTTTTGAGCATTACTTTACTATAAGTTTCTTTATTTTCTGATTGTTTTACACAAGTTATTTGCTCTTATTATAAACTATACTTTTTTCTTTTAAATAAAAGAAGTTGTTTCCGTTTTCCCTTCTCACAAATAAATTAGAGAAGAAAACCAGGCCATCTAATGGGAGGATGAAAATTGACTAGCCTAAACTAGAAGGGTGCACACTCATCTTCTCCTTCGAGAACTCCAAAATTACAACTCACTGCTGAACAACCATCAGCATAAGAATGTTGGATCCCACCAGAAAAAGATACCCCACATCCACAGGCAAAGGAGAAGCCCCAGCAAGATGGTAGGAGGGGTGAAATTGCATTTAGAATCAAAACCCAGACCCGCCAGGGACACTCGGAGGGCTCAAACAAAACCTTGTGCACCCCAGGAGACTTCACAGAGACTGAGCCAGACCTGCTTTCGAGCGGGTGAGTGTCTCCTATGGAGGTACAGGTCAGCAGTCGCCTGCCACAGGGGCAGGGGCTCTGGGTGCAGCAGAGTCTCCTGGGTGTGGCATAAGCCCTCTTGCAGGAGGTCACCATTAACCCCACCATAGAGCTGCTGAGCAGATGAACCACAAACACAGAACAATTATACCAAATAAATTCTCAAACTGTTAAGATAGTTCTAGGACCCACAACAGATTTCCCAACCTGGGGAATCTGGCAAAAGGGCTGAGAAACCCCAGCGAATTTGACCTTGGAGGGCAGTGGGATTTGATCACAAACCTTCCACAGGACTGGGGAAACAGACTCTTGGAGGGTACAAACAAAACCTCATGTGCACCAGAACCTGGGAGAAAGGAGCAGTGACCCCACAAGAGACTGACCCAGACTTGCCTGTGAGTGTCCAGGAGTCTCCAGCAGAGGCGTGGGTCGGCGATGGCCTGCTGCAGGGTTGGGGGCACTGAGTGCAGTACTAAGTGCAGATATTTGAAGGAGGTCGCCATTATCTTCATTACCTCCACCATAGTTTGGCCTCAGGTCAAAAACAGGGAGGGAACACAGCCCCTACCCCCCATCAACAGAAAATTGGATTAAAGATTTACTGAACCTGGGTATTCATTGGAAGTACTGATGTTGAAGCTGAAAGTCCAATACTTTGGCCACCTCATGCGAAGAGTTGACTCATTGGAAAAGACCCTGATGCTGGGAGGGATTGGGGGCAGGAGGAGAAGNTGATTATATTTCTTTAAGAGAAGCCTGTTGGTAATGAAAATCTGAAGTACCATCTAGAATTGGAGTGGGTCCTATTTGGTGTGGTGTTGGAGGTCTAGGATACAAGATCATTAGCAGTAGTCCAGAATACACTGTACCCCAAGCCTACCCAGTCTACCCCTCACTTTAGTTACTAAATCCTACATTTTCCTTTTTCTTGGATTATTGTTCATTTTGCTAGAGTACATACCCAAATGTTTATCTCAATAATGATCTGGGGGGCAAGGGGTAAAATTTCTGAATCTTTGGGTATGAAAAAATATTCTATACTCTCACTCGAAAGCTAGTTTGTCTTGGTTTTTTCTCAGATCATAGAAGACACTATTATATCTTCCAGCAGTGTTGCCAGTGAGGAATCTGATGCCACACTGATTCTCATTCCTTTGAGCTTAACCTGTTTATCCCTTTGGAAGCTTTTAGGACTTTATCTTTATCCCGAGTGTTCTAAAATTTCACCATGACAAGTCTAAGTTTTGGTTCTATTTCATTCATCTTGGCTAATATTTTCAATTTAAAGACTTGCATCTTTCTTAAACTCCAAAAAATACACTTTTACCACTATTTTTTCCTCTGCATTCTCTTTTTCTCTCTTCTTAAACTGAAGAAAGTAGGGAAACCACTAGACCATTCAAGTATGACCTAAATCAAATCCCTTACAATTATACAGTGGAAGTGACAAATAGATTCAAGGAATTAGATCTGATAGACAGAGTGCCTGAAGAACTATGGATGGAGGTTCGTTACACTGTTCAGGAGGCAGTGATTAAAACCATCCCCAAGAAAAAGAAATGCAAAAAGGCAAAATGGTTGTCTGAGGTTACCTTACAAAGAGCTGAGAAAACAAAAGAGAAGTGAAAGGCAAAGGAGAAAAGGAAAGATATACCCATCCAAATGCAGAATTCCAAAGAATAGCAAGGAGAAATAAGAAAGCCTTCCTAAGTAATCAATGCAAAGAAACAGAGGATAATAATAGAACAGGAAAGACTACAGATCTCTTCAAGAAAATTAGAGATACCAAGGGAATATTTCATGCAAAGATGGGCACAATAAAGGACAGAAATGGTATGGATCTAACAGAAGCAAAAGATATTAAGAGGTGGCAAGAATCAACAGAAGAACTGTACAGAAAAGGTCTTACTGACCTGGATAGCCACAATGGTATGATCACTCACCTAGAGCCAGGTATCCTCGAGCGTGAAGTCAAGTGGGCCTTAAGAAACAAAGCTACTCTGTACAGATCCAGTCACTTCCACAGACCAGGAAGATCATGGCCATGTAAGAGTTGGTAATTCATCCCTGAGTAAAAAATTTTATAAATTAAAGCTAACATTTGCTAAAAAAAAAAAAAAGAAAAAGAAAAAGAAACAAAGCTAGTGCAGGTGATAGAACTCTAGCTGAGCTATTTCAAAACCTAAAAGATGATGTTGTTAAAGTGCTGAACTCAATATGCCAGCAAATTTGGAAAACTCAGCAGTGTCCGCAGAACTGGGAAAGATCAGTTTTCATTGCAATATGAAAGCAGGGCATTGCCAAAGAATTTTCAAACTATCACACAATTGCACTCATTCCACATACTAGCAAAGTAATGCTCAAAATCCTTCAAGCTAGGCTTCAATAGTACATGAACCAAGAACTTCTAGATGTACAAGCTGG